CATCTGCTAATTAGTTTGCAGTTAAAAAAAAAAAAAAAAAGTACCTGCACACCTTGATGAGCTGTTGCACCAAGCTGATTGACATGAATCATGGCTCCAACATGAGAGATGTCAGTTGAAACAAAGAAAAGGAGTATTAAACTCTTTCAAGAAGGTAGATCATCATGGAATGTTGCAAAAAGATTGTTGGTTATTCCCAGTCAGCGGTGTCCTATAATTTGGACCAGGTACAAATCAAATGGGAAGACTGTAAAAGGGAAGCGTACTGGTAGGCCTAGGAAGACATCAAAGCGTCAAGACAGAAAACTTAAAGCAGTATACCTTGAAAACAGAAAATGCACAACAAAACAAATGAGGAACAATTGGGCAGAAACTGGAGTCCATGACTGTGACCAAACTGTAAGATATTGCCTAAAAGAAATGGGATTTACATACAGAAAAGCCAAACAAAAACCCTCATTAACACCTAAACAGAAAAAAAATAAGGTTACAGTGTGCTAAAGAAACTCAATCCTGGACTGTGGATGACTAGATGAAAGTGATGTTCAGTAATGAATCACAAATCTGCATTGGGCAGGGTGATGATGCTGGAACTTTTGTTTGGTGCCATTCCAATGAAATGTATAAAGACGACTGCCTGAAGAAAACATGCGCATTTCCACAATCATTGATGATATGGGATTGCATGTCAGGGGAGATGACAGTCATTAAATCTTCAATAAATGCACAACTTTATATTGAGATTTTGGACACGTTTCTTACTCCATCAATTGAAAGGATGTTCGATGATGATGATGACATAATTTTGCAGGTTGATAATGCATCTTGCCATAGGGCAAAAGCCATAAAAATTATCCTTCAAGAAACACATATATATTGTCAATGGCCAGTTGTTGGAGATGTGGGACCTCAGATGGATCATTCCTTCACATCTGGTGGTCTTGCTCTGTTCTGCAACCGTTTTGGCAAGAAGTGCACAGGCTAGTGGTGTCTATAACTACCTTGCCTGTGGATTTCTCTCCGGCTCAATTCCTCCTCCATCACTCTTCCCTTTCCGGGGGCAGTATTTCAAATCCTTAGCTATGCACATGATCAATGCAGCCAGACTCTGCACCCCTGTCCTGTGGGGTTTCACACACCCCCCTTCTATACGCGATTGGCTCACCCGAGTGGGAAAAACGGCAGTTATGGGAGAACTGATTGCGACTGCACTTGATACCCCTACAAAATTTTCCCACACTTGGGCCTGTTGGACTCATTTTCTGACTACCCCCGCATATCGATCTCTGATGGACCAACCTGTTTGAATTGACTTAGATTCCCTACTGTTGTAACTCAGTTGTATTTGACCCGATGGTGGTCAACATGCTCCCCCTCCTCCGTGTACGTCCCACATTTATTTGACACTAATGTTAATTTAGACTTCTACCGCACCTGATATGACCCGTATTGATGATCAAACAATTTTTGCAGTCATCCCTTCCCTCACTCCCTTCTACCCACGTGTTTCCCTCCCCCCCCCCTTTTTTTTTTTTTTTTTTTTTTTTCTTCCTTTTCTTTCTCTTTCTTTCCTTTGCGCTTCTCTCCTTCCTCTTTTTTTTTTTCTCCTCTCTTATGCTTGTACAAGCTCCAGATAATTATTCCGCAGAGCATTAGGCATGATGTCAACATCTTTTCTCCTTTCCCATTAGCGATTTCCATGACAATTTACTCCCATATACGCTCTCCGCCACCTCCACTATCTTGAACCTGTAGTATGGACTTCTGCTTAGATAGTGTACGCTCCCTCCTTTCCTCCATAGCACCATACTTTGAGACATTAATGTAGAACGCCTGGTGCCTCTTTGCTCTAATCGTTTGACAAGCACACTGGAATATTGCAGGCACAACCTTGTCGTGGTTTTACTCATCCAATTTGTTCATTTCTGCATTGGATCTCGTGCTCTTCTGTATGATATATGTTTTGCCATATGCCCTATGTTCAACCCGTTTGAAATTTTATTCTGTCTTGTATCAATCTGTGTGTTTGGTTTTCAATAAACACCTCTTTTTTGGAAAAAAATATATTGTCAATGGCATGGCCTGCAAATAGTCCGGACCTTAATCCAATTGAAAATCTATGGTGGAAATTAAAGAAAATGGTCCACAACAAGGCTTCAACCTGCAAAGCTGATCTGGCAACTGCAATAAGAGAAAGTTGGAGCCAGATTGATGAAGAATACTGTTTGTTATAGTTAAATCCATGCCTCAGAGAATTCAAGCTGTTATAAAAGTCAGAGGTGGTGCAACAAAGTACCAGTGGTGCACTGTAGTGGGTTTTTTCATGATTCCATATTATTTTCCTCAGAACTGAATGATACCATATTGGTTTTCCTCTGCTTGATCTGCAAGAAAAACAGTTGCAACTGACTACAGTCTTCTTTCTTTCTTTTTTGATGTGTTTCTTAAAGCCAGAAGGTTGGAATGTTAAATGAAAACATTTTCCAAGAGTGGTGATTCCATACTTTTTCCCAGGGGTTGTAGTTTTGGTAACTCTAAAGCCCTGTACACACAGACTATCGGGCGGTATCGGCCGGTTCAGTAGAAACTGTCTGACATTCGGCCCGTGTGTATGGCAGCTGGTCCGGCTTTTGTCAAAGGAGCATAACTGAAAAATGTCTGCCGATCGGCGCGCGCTCAGCCAATGGAAGAGCGCTGTGTGGTGTGTTATAGTAGGGGGTTTGCAGTTTCCCTGTCAGCGATTGTTAGTACAGGATCTCCTCCCGAGCTCTCCAGTTTACTTATTCATTTCAGGTACTTATATAGCGTTGTCAATTTACGCAGTGCTTTACATATATATTGTGCATTCAAGGGGTGTACAATCTAAGGGCCCTAACTCACATTCACACATACACATATTAGGGCCAATTTAGACAGGAGCCATTTAACCTACCAGCATGTCTTTGGAGTGTGGGAGGAAACTGAAGTACGCGGAGGAAACCCACGCAGGCACAGGGAGAACATGCAAACTCCAGGCAGGTGGTGCAGTGGTTGGGATTCGAACCAACAACCCTAGTACTGCCAGGCGGAAGTGCTACCCATCTAGCCATTGAGCTGTTTTTTTTCGTTCAGCTTGCTGGGTTGAATAAAAAAAACTGACAGTGTGTACTAGGCGTAAAGGAGACTGTATAGAAACTGTAGAGATTGCACAGTGTATGACTAGCTTTAGGACTAACGGATCACGCATTGCAGTACAAGGTTTTAAAGTGTAGCTTCACCAAAAAGGGGAAGTTCCGCTTTAAGCCCTTGTCCCCTGCTCCCCTTTAAGGGTTGGCACCTTTGACGAGTGGGGGATGGCATTGGGTACCCAAATTTGACAGGTACCTGCTCCCACTTCCGATTGCCTAGCGCAGCGGAAGCAAAAGTTGTCCCCCAGCTCCCCCCCCACTCCCCTCGCCGTAGTCTTCTGGGACCTGTCACGTTTCCCAGAAGACTACGGGGAGGGAGTGGGGGGGGGGGGCTGGGGGGACAACTTTTGCTTCCGATTGCCTACGGTACCATTCACAAAGCGCAGCACTAGTCGCACATGTGCAGTGGGCACCTGGCTGTGAAGCCGAAAGCTGTCACGGCCAGGTGCCCACACTGAAGATGCCGTGGACACAGGGCAATTGGTGAATCCAGCAGGTGTGAACACACCGCTGGATCAAGTGACAGGTGAGTGTCTGTTTTTTTAAAAGTCAGCAGCTACAATTTTTATAGCTGATTTTTTTTTTAATTATGACCGGACAGCAGCTTTAAGAAATGAGCCATCATCATTTTCCTGTGTGTAAAGGCTGCATTTATAATTTCTGCTGGTTTCAGATAAAAAGGCAACTGAAGAGCCACTCCAGCCCTGTCTGTAAGTCTCATGGTGATTCCTCAATGGAGGTACATGATTTCTGCGCCAGCAGCACAGGCATTAAGAGATGCTGGAACTAATATAGTGCATCTTGTTCAACAATATCTAAATATCAAAGCCTAATAAACACAAAAACAAAACAAAGGAAGCTGTGCATTCTGGAGTACACCAATTTAACTAGAAAAGCCCCCCACTCTAAACCCCATTCATAATAAACTTTGAACACCAAGCAAACAACTAAATAAACAAGTAAAATAAAAATTGACCTCATAGACCTCACTCTTCACCTTTGCAGTTCAGCTATACAGTTTGATTACTGGCTTCCTGTGATTGGACAGTGAGGAGCAGCAGTATATACTGAATAGGTTGCACTGCTGCTGGCTCTGACGATCCCAGAGTGCTGTCCCCCCACTCTTATTGTTTAGTCCTGCACTGCTCAGCATTACAGGAGACATATTGAGGCACTTAAAACAGTTTTAAGTGCAATACACAATGATTTTATAATGAATAAATAGATTAAAAGTTTTAGGGGGGGTTCTGGTGTAGACTAAACCAACACATACATGCCACACACTCTCAGTGTCAATGGAAAGGATCTCCATTCACTATTCAAGTTTTATTCAAAACAAGATCTGATTCCACCAATGGAGCCAAGTTGCAGAAAAAAAAGCTAGAGAAAGCTGGGAGGTTAGAGTTCCTGGTTGGTTCACACCTCAAATTCCTAATGAAGACCCCCTGCCAGGTGGCCTTAATGACTCCCTCCGCCAGACACCTTTTCCACCCTTGGAAACAAAAGAAATGTTAATTAGGAACTCACACCTAAGCTAATCTCAACACATACTTCTGTCTCTGCTTCTACTCTCTGTATTTCTCTGAAACACTCTAAAATAGTTAATAATTTACCATTTTCAGTGCATTATGAGCATTTGGGAGGTTTTCCTGTGCTTATCTTCAAAAAAATGCTTCTAAATGCAAACGTGCATAAACACGTTAAGCACACGCGGCTAAACAGGCGGTTTTTAACCTACGTTTTCCAACAGTCAGTTTCCATCGTTCAGAAGTGTCCCGTGTACATGGGGCCTTATACTTGTAGTTCCTCTGTAATAGAACGGATTTTACAGATTCACTTGTCTACCTTTTGACTTTCTCTGGTTTTCTTCAAACTCCACAACATGCTGCAGAACATCTCATAGCAAAAGAAGGTGAGTCCGGTTGAAACAGCAGCTTTAAGCAGACTTGGCGACAATCCTTTGAAAAAACCCCTAAAGCTTTCTTCCAGGTGTATTCGACATACACAGTCTCTGAGACCCTGGTATGTTCTGACCTGTTGGAGTAATTAAACCAAAACTATAGTCATCACAGGCTGTAGAGCAAGTCCAATAACTGTACAGAGCTGACAAAGACATTGTTATACTTTACTACATATAGCAGCCCGTTTAAGAAAAACAGGAAACAAGCATGCATGAAAATAAGAGGACATTACGGGAAAGAAGGCCTTTGTTCAGAAGAAAAGAACCCAACTTGCAAATTCATCATAAGAAAGTTGGCTAATTGGTCTCCTGGGACATAATTTATTGTAATGAATAAAATAAAGAAAATATTGACACAATATGCCATGACCAACCATAAGCAGTTTAGTTCTAACACGATCTGTGAATGGGGGAAGAATCTGATGAGTAACAGGATTTTCTCCCTCATTCACAGATCCTGTTACAGGTAGTGAAAGCAATGAAAAAATGTTTCTTAATGGAGGAGAAGGTGGCGGGCCCTTGTCAGGAACCATTTCAAAGCAGCTTTGTGGAAGACCCAAAGACCCCTTCAGCGCTGGAAGTTCAAAAGCAGGAAAAGGATGGGGCATTCCTGCACAGAATATTTCTAGAGCATCCAGCTGCCTGCACAACGTGGGACATCCTTCGTTACAGGTACGTTAGATCACCACCGTTATAGAGAATGTTTTATGTCTTTAAGTATTTGTTCATGAATATAAACTGTAACTGGATTAAACGTCTTTTGTATCTTCTGATAGCTTTGCTTTAAGTCTTAATATATTTTTATATATTCCTCAACGGCACATGGAATGCTTTCACATCCATAACCCAAGAAGTATAATTTCTTACCTCTCCAAATGCTGCTCTTGCCTGCTCAAAGCCCCCGACCTGGAGCCTTTTTTTAATCAGATCTAGTGGATAAGTGACAGTTTTACTAATCACTCCAGCCCCACTACCACACAAGAGGTTCTTCAAGTTATCTGTTTAGAGAATACAACGAAAAATAATCATTTATATGTGTAGTAGAACAGATAAAAGTTGAGAAAGAAGCCCACTTGAATGGCAACAGAGGAAATGAAATTACTTTAACATTCCTTAAATTAAACATCTACTACTACAGCATCTTTTGTAATACGTCATAGCCTCTATCGCTCTGCCCAAGTTCTGTTATGTAATGGGTTATGTAAAGCTAATATAGGGTCAAATATCACATACTTATACATTTAAATATAATTATAAAACATTTTTTTTTCTCTAAAATTAAGCTTTAAAGCCAACCTGAAAAGTGACATCAGACGACAAGGCATTTTGGACAAAGAAACATGTTCGCTGATTTGAAGTACCTTTCAATGTTTGTTCCCCTACAGCTTAGTTTTTTCTCACCTACCGTATTTGCCGGCGTATAAGACGACTGGGCGTATAAGACGACCCCCTACTTTTCCTGCTAAAATGTAGTGTTTGGGCTATACTCGCCGTATAAGACTACCCCTCTTCCAATGCACACCAGTGGGAGGAATAGTGCCCCATCATTGATGTCAGTGGGAGGAATAATGCCCCATCATTGGTATCAGTGGGAGGAATAGTGCCCCATCATTGGTATCAGTGGGAGGAATAGTGCCCCATCATTGGTATCAGTGGGAGGAATAGTGCCCCATCATTGGTATCAGTAGGAGGAATAGTGCCCCATCATTGGTGTCAGTGGGAGGAATAGTGCCCCATCATTGGTGTCAGTGGGAGGAATAGTGCCCCATCATTGGTGTCAGTGAGGGGTGGAATAGTGCCCCATCATTGGTGTCAGCGAGGGGTGGAATAGTGCCCCATCGTTGGTGTCAGTGGGGGGGTGGAATAGTGCCCCATCGTTGGTGTCAGTGGGAGGAATAGTGCCCCATCGTTGGTATCAGTGGGAGGAATAGTGCCCCATCATTGGTATCAGTGACACCAATGATGGGGCACTATTCCTCCCACTGAGACTTGCTGACCCTGTTCTCGTATGGTGCTGCTGCAGCCAGCATATGTGGTTGCAGCAGCACCTCTACACAGAACACTTACCTGCTGCTCCGGCACTCAATTTTCGCGGGGCCGCTCGGCTCCGCCCCCTCGCCGGTGATTGGCCGCCTGTGTGCCTTTCCTGAGCTACAGTTCTGGCGGCCAATCACCGGTGAGGAGGCGGAGCCGAGCAGCCGCACGAACATCCAGTGGCCGAACTGAAGGAGACGCCGCGCTTCCTGGACCGGATCGTCGTGGGACTGGATCCAGGTAAGAGACATCAGCCCCTGCAAACCCCTGTACTTAATGCCGCAGCCCCCCTAACATGTGTACCGGCGTATAAGACGACCCCCGACTTTTGAGAAGATTTTCAAGGGTCAAAAAGTCGTCTTATACGCCGGCAAATACGGTATATATTTTTTTTCATATCAAAGTTTTACTTTTTACTGAAATGAAAACAACCAACTTCAAACACATATTTAAATGTGTTAATTGATGTAATATACATATATTCACTTCAAAATTATACTCACACACAATTTATTTGTCCAGAACATTTGATAACTAATTATTTTATTTAGTTGTAGGAAATTTTACAGGTTGACATTTGAACATGTGGTCAGGTTTCAAAACCTCTTTTACCATGGCCTGGTGGTAAGGCAGCATCCCAAACTCTCTGCAACAGATTGTAGGAAGCAAATTGAAGGCCGGCATATGGAAACACTGCTAACAGAGTAGGACTGAGCCCCCGGTAGAATGTGAGAAATCCTCCTGTCTTGAACATAGTGACAATGGCATGGCGGAGTGTTTTTATACACCTTGGAAAGAAATAGTAAATTAGATGTGCTTTGCAATTTATAGAGTATCATCTTCCCCAACAAATGGACTGTAATGAGACAATACTCAAAACATACTGATATATCTTATACATCTATTGTAGAGTTTCACGTTCAGTGTTTTTTATGCTCAGAAACAATTTTGCACTTATCACACATCAGGTAAAGGAAAGTGATTGAATTTGTTCTAACCTGTAGTTAGGCACTATGTAGGCAGCCTTTGCATAATATTCCTGAAATAATGGAGGCTTTAGTACTTTCTAAGTCACTCCGTGCAAGTAATCAGATAAGGAGTTCTCACTAAATTCTGACTTTTGTAAGGTGCATGCTTGTTCCAGGTCTGTGTCTCAAAGTACCAAAGCCAGACAACACAAAACAAGCATTTTCAGAAGGTCAACACTGACATCTTTCTCATTTTCGGATTCCTTTAACAAATATAATTAAAGACTTTATGGGGTTCATTTACTAAAACTGGAGAGTAGAAAATCTGGTGCAGATTACAATATTGGTTTCCATGTCAACTATATAACTATAAAGTGAAAGTCTTGTTAAAAAAAAACAAAAAAAAACTAAGCTTAATCTTGTTCACACCTCCATTTTAAGCCCCATATAAAATGTGTATACTTACCTAAGGGAACTCTGGTCCAGTCACATGACCTCCCCAGCAGCCAGCTTCAGGGGCGAGGAAGGAGCAGCAACAATAGCTGCAGAGCCTGGGTGGTGACTTTATCTATTCACATACTATGGGGCATATGTTGTAAGCTGGCCCTTCACTACCTTGAAGACGGTGCTGGGAGCCGATCATATGACCGGATTGGAGCACCCTTAGATTAGGCAAGTATACACATCTTTCCTTTACAGGATAGTTAGTATAGGCCTTAGAATTGGGGTGGGAGCAGGTTTAAGCTTAGTTACGTTTCGACCATACTTTTACTTGTGTAACTAAAGACAAAACTATTTTTTGGATAGAGTGGAGAGGGATTAGATCATCTGTCAGGTTTTTATTGCCGTCTGTATCAACCCTCTCCATTTGTTTACTGTTTATCATCAAAAGTGAAAGCAATAGAAAAATTCCAAATTTTGGGCTGTCCCCAGAACAGTAATAAAATGGAAATCTTCCAGTGGGGACACTAATTCAATGGTTTTGCACAGAGCAGCCTCGATCTGCCTCTTCTTGGTTCCCCTACTGGCGCTCCTGGCCCCTCCCCCCTGCTAAGTGCAGCTTGCTCTGGGGGCACTCATGCGTGCTTGCTCCTGATCCCTGCTCTGTGTGTCCATAAGACAAACAGAACAGGGCTAGTACTTGGCTCCCCTTCTGCCTTTAGAACCACTTTAATTTGCAGAGATTTCCTCTCACTTCATATTTTGGCTATTGAACAGGAAGTGAAAGCAAATCTCCCCAATGGAACACAGATTGCAAAAAAAGCACCTGATGGGGAATTTTAACCCTCTCTTACACTATCCAAAATTAACAAAAACATTTTTGTCTATAGTCCTACTTTAAAATAAATAGCCACTGAATATAATTGTCTAATCCTACCTAAAAAGAATTGCCATTTTTAAAAGCAAGGATGAAAATATTCCCACCACTTATGAATATAATTGTCTAATCCTACCTAAAAAGAATTGCCATTTTTAAAAGCAAGGATGAAAATATTCCCACCATGTTCCTGGAGAGATTTAAAGCCAAAGTCCAGCTCAGCATTTCTTAACTATGGTGGCATTTGGGTTCCCCTGGGGTGTTGTGAACACTTGGTGTAGTTTGCCCTGGATCAGCAACTTTTTTTTTCCTTAGTCTGGACCATAAAAAAATAAAAAAATATATGCACAAACACCTGAGAAGTGAGAAGTCCAGCTTACCTTGGGTTCCCCCTGAGCAGCGAAGCGTGTCCTAAGTGTGTCCAGGGGTTGCACAGTGAGAGTTGCTGAACAGGCAGCCAGACCTCCACAGACAAAGTGAACTGCAGGTGCTCGTGTGTCCAAGGAGGTGGATGTATGAATAACTTCAGTTAAGACCTCAAAACTCACAAACTGTAGGTTGAAGAGACGGAGAGAAAGTTGGATCCCAACACAACAATACATTGGTAGGCCACAGACATAATAATGAGCAGAAAGATATCTACCTATCCTCCCGTGATTACTAGGACCAACCACGATTTCTGTCTGAAGCGGACGGCAGTGCACAACATACAATACTTTAGACCCACTACCTATTTTCATAGTAGAGTGAAGGACTAGTCCCACTTGTAAGGAATTTTAAGAAGTCTATCTTGAGGCAAAACTTGTGTTTTTGTTTTGGATAGAGTGGGAAGTGGTAGAATTTTTCCCTAACATAGGGGTTAAAGTGGTTGTAAACCTCAGATGTGAAATATGAACAAAGTATATACCTCTATAGTGTGTACATGTCTCACTTAAGAGCACTAAATGTAAATTTCTGTTTAGTTCCTGTGCCATCAGCATGAGTCACTTCTGATGAGTTTTCCTGGCACCAAGAGAAAAATGGTGATGGGGAGGGTCCTCCAGCAGATTGACAGCCTCAGCTCTGTCCCTGTGAGCTGTGTGGAGAAAGGTGTGTCCCTTCCCTTCAATCAGCTCTCAGAGCTCTCCTCAGTGATGTAATTTCAGCTCCCAGCCCCCTGCTTTTCATAGCTGAGAAATTATGTGCAAATTCTGTACTTTGAATGGATGTAGAAGAAAGACTGATGTAGATAAACAGGTACAACGTATGTAGGAGGATTTGTTTAATCTCCATGGATCACCTGAGGCCAGTCACTTCACTGGGTTTATGTAAGGGTTTCGAACCACTTTAAAGGAGTGGCAGTAGGACAGAAAGCCACATACAGCAATAAACACTGTACAAAGGATCTGATTTATTGTTGCTGTCCCTCTATTGGATACATTTCCCATCACTTACTGAGCCCCGTCATGGGGAATGAAAGTGAAGGGAAACCTTCCCGTCTCACATCCAACATATTTAGTGTGATAAAACTGAAGATATATGATAGGAAATGGTTTTGTATAAAAAGGAAAGGATAGTGCCCAAGATACTTGATGTTAGCCTCGAAGGCCTGGTTCACATCAATGCAGTTTGTGTTTTGTCCATTTCGCAAAGCTTTTTGTGGTTTTTGATGCTTTTGGCTTTTTTTGTTTTATCGGGCCAACTTGTTGCTGGGCACATTAAAATCGTAAAACGCATCAAAATCGCAATACATGCATTTTCTGCAGCATCTCAATTGAAGTCTATTGAACCAAAAACACAAAGTTTTGTGTTTAAAAAAAAAAAGTCCCTGACCCTTTCCAAAAATGCAGCGGATCAAAAAAAGCATAGATGTGAATGTCTCCCACAGGAAACCATGTTAAGTGGACTGTAGGGTATTTCTGCAAAAAGCACTAAAAACGCATTGGTGTGAACCAGGCCTAACACATAAGGTACATCTTAATAATAAAAAGTGCAGGTTGGAATCAAAAGCACCTATTTCTTTTATTCAGTAGTCCTTACAAATACAATGAGGTAAGTGAACTCACCTGTACAGCACCATAGGTTACAGAGAGGAGCTGTGCTGGGACATGTCCTTTCCAAAACCCAGGCAAGCCTTCCTCCTTCAGAATCAGTCTTACTGCCTGCACGATACCACTGTACTTCCCATGGGCCCCATGCCTAGTCAGACCCTCAATTTGCAGCTGTGAAATAAAAACCCGAGAGATCACCATATTCTCTAAAATACATTCTTGCTATGAAAAAATTGCACAAAGAAACAAAATAATGAGTCTATCTGCCTTGGGATAGGAGCAGCCTGACATCTACATAAAGGTACCCAGTGGCTTATGAAGACTATTGCCTGATTTGTCAGTCAGATCAGACAGCACCTTCTTGTCCTGCTGTCGCTGCTCCACTGATAGAAAGATTCATCAATCATAATAATCAATCATGGCGGCTTCCAATGTGGTCATTTATGTCTGAAAATGCTAGCTGCCTGGGTATCATAATTTGGAACAAATAGTTCAGCATTTTTAAAGTGAGCTCAGCAATTGAAACCTCTATATTAAGTGGACAGGTTTACTTTGTAACTTCTCTGAATTATAGTTCTTCCCTAGATGAATTGATAAATACATACAATCGTTAATTTAAACAGATTACACTCAAGTAGCACACATCTGATGGTATATCTGAAGGGAAAGATTGCACAGTTAGGCTGTAATGTGGTGTGGCCAGTTTTAGACATGGAGTACTGGAGTCTTGTGTCAGACAGAAAGCGTCTCTTTGCAGTAGTAACTCTTTGCTGTTCTTGATGCAGTTTTGAGTTTCAACACCAACCATTATGTTCTAAGTAGAAGCACAAAAAATGGATATGTGCTCGAGAGCCTCTCTAAGGCTAGGTTCACACCTATGCAGTTAGCGTTTGATCTGTTTCTGCAGTGCGTTTTTGACGCTTTTTTTTTTAACTTGTTGCTGTGCAGATTAAAACGCAGTGGTACATGCAATGATCATCAAAACAATGAACACTTATATTCAGTGCTCACACAATGGTACAAAAGATGGTAACGAAAAACTACACATAGATGGATAAATGAGAAATTGGAACTGACTGTACAATGAGTGTTGTGACAGCTGTCAAAAGAGTCAACATGTCCATGGGATGGGCAGAATAAGGAAGAAGTGGACCAAGGATACAGGGTACATGAGATGGGACCGGCAGCTCCTTGTCAAGGATGTGGGGGATCTCTCAGAGACAAGCAGAAGAGAAAGGAGGACGCCAGGTCAGTGTAAGTTAAAAACATGAAAACTTTATTGCAGAGAACTTACATCTAAGAATCCTTCACTCGACATGTAGGATGGACAGAGAAGCGGGACTGCAGTTCACTCTGTAGGATGGATTGGTGTAGAGTGCATCACCTGGAAGGGAGCCTCTCGAAGACTTGGTGGCGTTCATTCAAAAATCCTGCCGAGCGGTGAAGAGATGTAATGGGTGCTGTGAGAGATGCCGAGAATGGCCAGTGGGTGGGCTGCAACGTGTTTTAGAAGCTCCGCCTCCTTTGTCAAGCAGGCTCGCCCATACATATGAGGAGTATATACAGTGAGGAACAGAAGTATTTGAACACCTTGCGATTTTGCAAGTTCTCCCACTTAGAAATCACGGAGGGGTCTGAAACTCACATTGTAGGTGCATTCCCTCTCTGAGAGACAGAATTTTGAAAAAAAAAAAAAAAAAAATCAGGAAATCACATTGTATGATTTTTAAAGAATTAATTTGTCTTGCACTGCTAAACATAAATATTTGAACACCTGAGAAACAGCAAGAATTCTGGCTCTCAAAGACCTGTTACTGTGCCTTTAAAAAAGTCCACCTCTACTCCACTCATTAATCTAACTTAGTAGCACCTGTCTGAGCTCTTTAAAGACACCTGTCCACCCCACAGTCAGTCAGACGCCAACTACTACCATGGGCAAGACCAAAGAGCTGTCAAAAGACATCAGAGACAAAATTGTGGACCTAACAAGGCTGGAAAGGGCTACGGGGCAATTGCCAAGCACTTGGTGAAAATAGATCAACTGTTGGGCAATTGTTAGAAAATGGAAGAGGCTAAAGACGACTGTCAGTCTCCCTCAGACTGGGGCTCCATGCAAGATCTCACCTCGTGGGGTATCACTGATGAGAAGAAAGGTGAGGAATCAGCCCAGAACTACAAGGGAGGAGCTGGTCAATGACATGGAGAGCTGGGACCACAGTTTCAAAGGTCACTGTCGGTAGAACACTACGCCGTCATGGTTTAAAACCATGCATTGCACGGAAGGTTCCCTTGCTCAAGTCATCACATGTCCAGGCCCGTCTCAAGTTTGCCAATGACCATCTGGATGATCCAGAGGAGGCATGGCAGAAAGTCATGTGGTCAGATGAGACCAAAGTAGAACTTTTTGGTCTAAACTTCACTCGTCGTGTTTGGAGGAAAAAGAAGGATGAGTTGCATCCCAAGAACACCATCCCTACTGTGAAGCATGGGGGTTGTAACATCATGCTTTGGGGGTGCTTTTCTGCGAAGGGGACAGAACGACTGCACTGTATTAAGGAGAGGATGAATGGGGCCATTTATTGTGAGATTTTGAGCAACAACCTCCTTCCCTCAGTCAGAGCATTGAAGATGGGTCGTGGCTGGGTCTTCCAACATGACAACGACCAGAAGCACACAGCCAGGATAACCAAAGAGTGGCTCTGTAAGAAGCATATCAAGGTTCTGGAGTGTAATAAAAACAACTTAACTTGTGAGCCACTGAGGTATACTTGGAAAATATGAGTATTAGATCGCTGGTTAATATGCCCACTCTCATATAATGTGTGTTTATCAACAAAATATTTAAATAATTACCACGCTCTAATACCATCAAAAAGTGCAAACAAAAAAGTGCAAAGTGCTTATGAAATAAATAAAAATAATTAATATAAAGTGACTGATGTGAATAAATAAATAAAAAAGGTATAAAAATGAAATAAATTAATACAATGATATCATACTATCAAATCACTATATTTGCAATCCTCATATAAATGTGCAAATATGCCATCTGAAAAACCACAAGAGAGTTAATATAATATAAAAATAAAAAATAAAAAAGTCTACTGTGAAGAAAGCAGCAATACTGTCCCAAATGTAACTGTGCCAATGAGTATCTAGCCAAGACAGATATGCTCTCCTTCAGTATGAAGATAAGGTCTTTGCAATAATGTTGTAAACCTGTGTGACTGCAGGGCTGTGAGGGATACTCCCTCCTCTGATCCACTCCTTAATCCTCTGCCTTTGTGTTCCTCGTATATCTCATGCAAAAGAGAAATAAAGAATATGGTATCTTATCCCAGAGGTAAAAACAGCTTTAATGTGCTTCCATATTGCACTCACATGTCATATAATACATTAGCGCTTTTAGATATAGCAAGATCCGCAGCTTGCAGCTGAAACAGAGCGGTGGGTGTGT